AAAATCAATTAATAAACGGAGATGTAATAATTGGAAAGTCACTTGTGGCAGGTCATCAAGTAGTACCCATAACAGTGGCCAATTTCTCTAAATGTGAGCAGACACTTAAGGAAGGGGCATTGTTGGGTGTGTGCCGGGAGGTAGAGCCAGTCAATGTTAAAGCAAGAAATGCAACCATAAAGAAAGGACATCCTCTTCCAGAACATTTAACTGATCTCTATAATAAGAGCACAGTCCATTTTTCATTATCACAGGCTCTTCAGGTTAGAGAACTTTTGGCGAATTATGCAGACGTCTTTACGAAAGGAAATCGTGACCTCGGCTGCACAGACCTTGTAGAACACAGAATAAACACAGGTAATCACCGTCCAATAAAGATCCCTCCGAGGAGAATAGCCCAGCAAAGCGACAAGAGATGGAGAAGGTCATGGATGGCCTAATCAAGGAAGGGATAGTCGAGAAATCAGAAATCCCTGGTCAGCTCCCGTCGTGTTAGTCCAGAAGAAGGATGGGACCCAACGTTGCTGAATGGACTTTAGAGCTCTTAACAGTATAACCAAAAAAGACTCATATCCACTGCCAAGAATTGATGATACTCTTGATGCCCTAAATGGAGCCAGGTGGTTTTCAACTTTGGACTTAAAGTCAGGTTTCCATCAAGTGAAAATGGTCGAAGCAGATAAACATAAGACTGAATTTAGTTATGGCTAAAGTCTCTGGCAATACCGTGTGATGCCATTCGGGCTTAGCAATGCTCCAGCAACATTTGAGAGGCTGATGGAAGGAGTACTGGAAGGCCTACAATGGAGGATAGCCCTAGTGTACCTGGATGAAGTCATTGTATTTGCAACAAATTTTGATGAGGAAATGTCCCGGCTAGAGGAAGTATTCAAGCGTTTGAAAGCAGCAAACCTCAAACTCCATCCCAAGAAATGCTACTTGTTCCAGAAAGAGTTGCTTTACTTGGGTCACATTGTAAGTGAGCATGGTGTGCGAACTGATCCCGACAAGGTGAAAGCGGTGCGTGATTGGCCAACACCAGACAATGTGGGAGAGTTAATAAGTTTCTTGGGACTCTGTACCTATTACCGGAAGTTGGTGAAGGACTTTGCAACTATAGCTGCTCTACTACATGATTTGACTAAAGAAGGCCAGAAGTTTGAATGGACAATTTCTTGCCAACATGCTTTCAAGACATTGAAAGAAAAATTGGTCTCATCTCCACTTTTAGAGCTTCCAAATCCTTCACTGCCGTACATACTGGATTGTGATGCTAGTAATGTCGGAATTGGAGGAGTGTTGTCTCATAAAGTGGGTGAAAACGAACATGTGGTGGCAACTTCAGTAGGGTCCTGAGTAGACCAGAGAGGAACTACTGTGTAACACGGAGGGAACTCCTTGCTATAGTAAAGAGTCTGACATATTTCCATCCTTACCTCTATGGGGCTAGGTTTACCATCAGGAGAGACCATGCTGTGTTATGCTGGTTAAGATCATTAAAGAACCCAGAGAGACAACTGGCATGTTGGATCGGAAAGATAGACCAGTACAATTATGATATTGAAAACAGAGAAGGAAAAATATCATGGAAATGCCGATGGACTGAGCCGAAAACCCTGCAAAAATGACTGCAGACATTGCTGCAAAAAAGAGGTTCATCAACCAGGTGCCATCAAGCTGAAGTCAAAGTGACTGAAGGAGTTGATGATGGTGAAGTGGAACCAAATATAGATATTAAAGCAGAGCAGGAGAAAGACCAAGATTTGAAGCCAATAACTGATTTTCTACAATCAATTGTTTTGCGCCCTGCTTGGGAGAAGGTGTCTAGCTTAAGCCCTGTGACAAAGAACTACTGGGCACACTGGGACCAATTGAAGCTTGAAGATGGTATTTTTGTCTGGAGATGGGAAAGTGACGACCTGGCATAGGGTTATACCGAGAAAGTTACGGGAAGTTGTGCTGTGTCAATCCCATGATAGTTTAACAGGAGGACATCTCGGAGTTAAGAAGACATTGAGTCATCTACGACATAGATTTTACTGGATAGGTATGAGGCAAGATGTGGAAGAATGGTGCAGGACATGCAGTACATGTTGTGCTAATTGGGACCCAAGCATAAAGGACGGGCTCCAATGAAGTTATATCAAGTTGGTGCACCAATGAAAAAGTAGTCATTGACATTGCTGGTCTTTTGCCCCAAACTCGTGCTGGAAACAGGTACGTTTGTGTGGTGATGGATTATTTCACCAAATGGACTGAAACATATGCTGTACTAAATCAGGAAGCTTCACCTGTAGCTTCGGCTATTAGTGATTTCTTCTTCAGATT